GTTTCACACGTCTGCCCTTGATGCCGCATTAATTCTGCACTCCCTGCTCCCTCGAAGGCATGCTGCTCTCTTGGTGGTCCAGTTTGTTTGGTGTTCCAGTTTGCTGACTCTCTGGGCACCATTTAGCAGCTCCTCATTCGCTGAACTGAAATCAGTGACTGCTCTTGGATTTGAAGTCCTGAGAAAGCTGTTTAACCCATAGAGCATCTCCATGGTGACACAATCCCCGCGATGTCGCTGAGCACAGACCCGTGGGATCTCCCCGAAGCAGTCTCTTTAGCCCTCACCTGCAACCCAGCATCAACCCTTTTGTTCAGATTCTCCAGCGGGGAATTTGGGGCATCCCCTCTCGAGGCTGAGGCTGCTGGTGGTAGAATGAAATACCCTGATCACATCCAGGATAGATGCTGGCACTGCCGAGCCTCAGCTCTGCTGCCGAGTTCCATTAGAAGATGAACCTTGGAGAATCACGAATGGTGTGTCAGCCAGACACTCAGTGCCAAGTAGCAGATTTAAGATTTCTTGATGCTCCTAGACAGCTGAGCAGAGATTTTATCAGCGGCTGCAAAGGCAGCCAGCCCGTCGTCGCCTTGTCAGCATTTGCGGAGTACATTGGAGCACTGAGCTGGCAGGTCACCGCTGTGGAGATGTCTGAGAACCTTCTCTTTGGTGCTTACGTTGTGTTTTGTGTCGAAATGTGTATCCGAGGTCTCTGGGAGTGAGGAGTGTTGCCCTCTACTGGGACTCAAACTTAATTTTTTATTCAAGCAGGTTAGCCAAAAATGTTTCAGCCGGTCGCGATGTTTCTCACTTGTTTGGTAGAAACTGAAATGTTTTTATTAATGAGGCTGAATATTGAGAGTTCTCGGGGGGGATTTCCAGTTGCGATGCACCTTGGCCTTCTGCCTGCTGTAGGAGGCAGGGGAGGCAGAGGATGTCTCATGTTGGAATTCAAACAGTTCACCCAGAAACTTTCCCCTGCCTGCTTCCTAGCCTGCGATTGGTTTGTTCAGGTCTCTTTCTAGAACCTATACTCTTGTTGCTTGGCATGTGGGTTTCTGGTGATCTCTCTGCACAGAATTTTTTTTTTTTTTTTAGGGCTGTCTTTTTATTTTATTTTATTTTTTTATTTGACAGTCTAAGGGAAAATAGGTCATTGTCCCTGGTGAAATAATCAGGTAGTGCATGCTTTAAAAATTCTTGCGGCCCACCGTTGAAAATCGCTGATCTAGTTTCTATTCCTTAGCCTATGCCTGCTGATAAACACTTGTTTCCCACACCGGCGCTGCCCATTCTCTGACAGCGAAAAGGAATCTGACCTGGGACCTGCAGGCACTGAGCCCGGGAGAGGGGGCCTTGCACAGAATCTTTTTTAAAAATATTAGTGGAGTCACTTGTAAAACAAAGACCCTGTTTCTAAAATCATTCCTAATGCAGTTATGATTTCTTTAGTGATGGGCATTACAAACTCAAATTTCTCTATATTGGTAAAACCTCATAGTTATCTAATGATCCACGGGACCGCCAAAGTTATTTTGGTATAATAGGATTTAAGGTGCATAAGTTGCTAATAATCGAATTTACAGCCTGCAGGAATTAGCAAATAAGGCACCTTGAATTTATTTGGGCAGTGCTTTTCAACAGTGACCCACAGCCATACTCCATCTTGCAGAGAAATACAGCTCATATATATGGATTTACATATAATTATGTAGCTACACACAGAAATGAAACAAAACTTTCCTGAATTTAATTCGTGTAGAGTGCACTGTGGTTTTTCTTTTCTAGTTTCTTTCGTACTTCCTCCTTCCCTCCCTCTTTCTTCTTATGCTAGTCATGATCCATCAAGTCAGTTGCACCAATTTATTAATGGGTCATGACCCACTGTTCCAAACACACTGCATTAGGGGTAAGATTTCCAACTCTCTCTATCCCTTCCTTTTTCCAGGCTTCTGATGTGTGTATTGGGGGTAGGGGTGGGAGCTTTCTTCCTTTCATCCTTCCAATTCCTTTGCTTTCTGCCAGATAGCAGAACAAAAAAATATGTTGAGATTAAAACCCCACCTCCAGCTCAGTTGTCCTGTACTTCTCCCCGGGCAAACAGGCCTATAAAATTCACCGTCCCTGCGTGAGCTACCCTGCTCCTGGGCTGTAGGCAAGCTCTCTTGCTTACCAGTTGAGAGTAATCATTACAACTAGTTTTATAAAAGGCCCATAGGGTTAACTATGTTCTGGCTTAGGAGTAACATTATTTAATAATAGTCATAACCCTGGCCGGATTTCTCAGTGGGTTGCAGCATCAGCCCATTGAAGGGTTGCAGGTTCAGTTCCTGGTCAAGGACACATACCTGGGTTGGAGGTGGGGCACTGCAGGAGGCAACCAATCAATGTCTCTCTCTCTCTCTCTCTCTCTCTTTCTCTCTCTCTCCTTCCCTCCTACCCTCCCTCCCTTCCTTCCACTCTCTCTAAAAATCAATGGATAAAATGTCCATGTCCTTGGGTGAGGATTAACGACGACAACAAAATAATAATCATCATATTGTAATAATAAATATTAAGTACTTATGCACATTATCTCATTAAGTCCTCACAACCCCCAGAGACTGGTTCATTATTTATCCCTGAGTTATACACAGGAAGCGAGGCAGGGAAGGTCGTGTAATGTAACCAAGGGCACACAGAGGACATACAGCATGACAGTTGAGCTGAACACTTATCCGTTCCTTTCACTTCTCTACAGTCATGTTATTCATGAAGCCAGCAGCCTGTCTGAGCTGCTCCTGTCTTATACATGTGTTTGAGAGTGGTAGAACCCCTTGCCCTGCCTTTAACTTCCATGCATGTGGTTGGCTGGCATTCATTGAGCGTCTCTGTGTCTCGGGCACTGTGCAGGGCACTGGGGGTAGACTCAGGAATGTCCTGCTCCCGTCAGGTAATCATCCTGCTACTTGGGGATGGGAACAGCTTGGTGAGGAGACCCCAGGAGGGAGTAGGGCAGGGGTAGGCTCCCCAACCCAGCATGTCCTGCTCCTGTGCTCTTGGGAAGTGTGAGGGTGGTGAGGGACAGGAGGGGCCAGGGCCTCTGACCCTTCATCAGCTTTGACAAACCCTGAGAAAGTATTGGGCAGCTCTGTGGGATCATTAAAACACAAGAATTCCTATACTACCTTCTTCAGGTTCCTAGGAGAGTAACATAGCTTTTCTTTTGCATGGTTATCAACAAAGATATAAGAGGAAATTTAACCTTTCTGTAATATGAGTCATTATTTTGTTATCTAAAAGGGACAAGGACGTAGTTGATTCATTTTAATGAAAATGGCATGGAAGGTTTAGAAGGATCAAAGTTTTGTGATTATGTGACCTCGTGGCCTGTTTTACCTCTTCTCACCCTGTGTTGCTCACCTGCCACTGTAACCCTGGCCCCGTGGAATTGTCTCTTTGCCCTGCAAGGGGAAGACCTCACATGTGGTTTGATGCCGGCATTAGTTATCTGAAGGTTTACAGATGACACTGACCCAAGCAGGCCCCGGAGCGGACCAACGCACACTCCGCCCGTTAGAAGTGCAGACGCAGGGATCAGGATCCCGGTGACTGCGGTTTCAGAGCCCGGGCGGGGCAGCCTAAGCCAGCCGTGTTCCCCAGGCGCAGGAGCACCCTGAGGACACACTTGGTTCCTGCCCAGCCTGCAGCTGCCTCGGCACATGCCCGTCTGTGGAAGTGAACCCTTTGTGCCTCAACCCTGCCTGCTCCCTGGACAGCCACCAGTGCTTGCCAGTTAGCTCTTTTGTGTAAACCCTGGAAAGTATATTCCCATACATTCTGGGGTCAAATTCAACAATGTACAAAAGCAGCTTGTACAGTTAGGACTGGATTTCAACGAATGGCACATGAAGTGTACCGTTTGGTAAGTTTTGGCATTTTGGAGCTAGTATATCAGTAAAGCCATCGCCACAATCAAGATAATAAACATATCCATCATCGGCTACCATTCAAGTTTTGTGCCCCTTTGTATCCTCCCTGCACTCCATATAACCACTGATCTGCTTTCTGCCACTATCGATACGTTTGTGTTTTCTAGAAATTTATGTGAATGTAATCATAAAGTATGGTCTCTTTTGTTTGTTTGGCTTCTTTCAGCATAATTACTTAGAGTTATGAGTGCCAGGTGTAACAGTTTTTATACACAGCAAGTGGATCATACGTAGCAAGTGCCCTTCTTAGATGCCTAAGATACATGTCGATTCATTGCAGACTGCGGGTGGCTTAGGACAGCGGGTCTTCCTTTCCTCCTGGAGTTCTGGCTGAGCAGGGCTGCTTTACCCGCAGGGAGACCAAAACTTAGACACCCGAGAGGCCCCATCATTTCATGGACGCTCAGCAGCATGGGCTCTGGAGCATCTGGGCTAGCCTGGCCCTTTTCCAACCCGAGATAAGATGTGATTCCAGGCGGCGGTGGAGTGGGCAGCACATTCCACTGTCCGGACCCCGTTCTTCTGTGCCCACCACCGGGCATCTCGTTGCCCACGTGGCGACATCTGTTCTCCTGAAGGCTGTGGTCAGTGAGGTCACCGGCCCAGGAGCTCCTCATTCCCAGGGTCTCCCTCCCACCGCCAGCAGGGTTCTTGCCCGGCCTTGCCAGCCACCGTGCTCTGTCTCCTGTCGGGCCCTGGGTAGTAAGTGCAGCGCTGGCGGCCTGCAGCAGCTCCAGCCTTCCGGGTCCAGTCGGAGCCTCTCTCAGGAAATAGGGGGCATGAGCAGGTTTACACTGAGATGTGCATTTGCATCCGTGGTGCATTCTGGACAGAGTGACTTGGGGCGAGGGAATCAGCTCCTCACATCTCCTTGGCGCGCGCGCGCGCGTGTGTGTGTGTGTGTGTGTGTGTGTGTGTGAGAGAGAGAGAGAGAGAGAGAGAGAGAGAGAGAGAGAGAGACACACACACACAGACCTGTGTGGGGTGCAGTAAATCAGAACATCCCCTAACACACCTTGTGTTTTCCAGGCGCTCCTAGCAGGCATGAGGAACCGGGAGAACAGCTTGCCCTGCCAGGGCAACGGGGAGCAGGCCGGCAGGGGCAAGAACTCGGTCTCCACGTGGCCGGGGGAGGAGGAGCCCTGCAGCGACGCGACCGCCCCCTCCTACAAGAAGCCCCTGTACGGCATCTCGCACAAGATCATGGAGAAGAAGAACCCCCCGGCGGGGGACGTGCTCAGCACGTACGAGCTCCTGGAGAAGGCGAACCCCGCCAACAGCCCCTCGCCCCTGCGGCTCCTGAACGAGACTCAGAAGCGGGACAGCGTGGCCTCGGCCACCACCGACGGCGACCCCAACATCTACTTCCTGATCCAGAAGATGTTCTACATGCTCAACACGCTCTCCTCCAACATGTCCCAGCTGCACAGCAAGGTGGACCTGCTGTCCCTGGAGGTGAGCCGCATCAAGAAGCAGGTGAGCCCCCCGGAGACGGTGGCCAAGTTCCAGCCGCCCCCCGAGTACCAGCTGACGGCCGCCGAGCTCAAACAGATCGTGGACCAGAGCCTGTCGGGCGGGGACCTGGCCTGCCGCCTGCTGGTGCAGCTCTTCCCCGAGCTCTTCAGCGACGTGGACTTCTCCCGCGGCTGCAGCGCCTGCGGCTTCGCCGCCAAGCGCAAGCTGGAGTCGCTGCACCTGCAGCTCATCCGCAACTACGTGGAGGTCTACTACCCCTCGGTGAAGGACACGGCCGTGTGGCAGGCCGAGTGCCTGCCCCAGCTCAACGACTTCTTCAGCCGCTTCTGGGCCCAGCGGGAGATGGAGGACAGCCAGCCGGGGGGCCCGGGGGCCGGCTTCTTCGAGGCCGAGCCGGTGGACGCCGGCCACTTCCTGGACAGCAAAGACCAGGAGGAGGCCCTGTCCCTGGACCGGAGCAGCACCATCGCCTCGGACCACGTGGTGGACACGCAGGACCTCACCGAGTTCCTGGACGAGGCCTCCTCGCCGGGCGAGTTCGCCGTGTTCCTGCTGCACCGGCTCTTCCCGGAGCTCTTCGACCACCGCAAGCTGGGCGAGCAGTACAGCTGCTACGGGGACGGCGGCAAGCAGGAGCTGGACCCGCAGCGGCTGCAGATCATCCGCAACTACACGGAGATCTACTTCCCCGACATGCAGGAGGAGGAAGCCTGGCTGCAGCAGTGCGCCCAGCGCATGAACGACGAGCTGGAGGCGCTGGGGCTGGACGGGGGCAGCGAGGGCGAGCCGCCGCGGGACGACTGCTACGACTCCTCCAGCCTGCCCGACGACGTCTCCGTGGTCAAGGTGGAGGACAGCTTCGAGGGCGAGCGGCCCGGCCGGCGGTCCAAGAAGATCTGGCTGGTGCCCATCGACTTCGACAAGCTGGAGGTGCCGCAGCCCGACTTCGAGGTGCCGGGCGCGGACTGCCTGCTCAGCAAGGAGCAGCTGCGCGGCATCTACGAGAGCAGCCTGTCCATCGGCAACTTCGCCTCGCGCCTGCTGGTGCACCTCTTCCCCGAGCTCTTCACGCACGAGAACCTGCGCAAGCAGTACAACTGCAGCGGCTCGCTGGGCAAGAAGCAGCTGGACCCGTCGCGCATCAGGCTCATCCGCCACTACGTGCAGCTGCTCTACCCGCGGGCCAAGAACGACCGCGTCTGGACGCTGGAGTTCGTGGGCAAGCTGGACGAGCGCTGCCGCCGCCGCGACACGGAGCAGCGGCGCTCCTACCAGCAGCAGCGCAAGGTGCATGTGCCGGGCCCCGAGGGCCGGGACCTGGCGGGCTACGCCGTCAGCTCCGCCGAGAGGTTCCGCGAGGAGTACGAGGGGCCTCCGCTGCCCCCGGAGCGGAGCAGCAAAGACTTCTGCAAGATCCCGCTGGACGAGCTGGTGGTGCCCTCGCCCGACTTCCCGGTGCCCTCGCCGTACCTGCTGTCCGACAAGGAGGTGCGCGAGATCGTGCAGCAGAGCCTCTCGGTGGGCAACTTCGCGGCGCGGCTCCTGGTCAGGCTCTTCCCCGAACTCTTCACGGCCGAGAACCTCCGGCTGCAGTACAACCACTCGGGCGCCTGCAACAAGAAGCAGCTGGACCCCACGCGGCTCAGACTCATCCGCCACTACGTGGAGGCCGTGTACCCCGTGGAGAAGATGGAGGAGGTGTGGCACTACGAATGTATCCCCAGCATCGACGAGCGGTGCCGCCGCCCCAACAGGAAAAAATGTGACATCCTCAAGAAAGCCAAGAAAGTGGAGAAATGACGGGTACCTCCCCCTCCCCCCCCCCCCTCCCGGGCCTGAGCCTTCCTTCGGAGCTACGTGTACGGTATCCACGGACACGCACCTTACGGCAGGGGCAAGTGGCTTACTACTTTTGCACACAAGACACCACCCACCCAACCGCCAGAACGAAGCCTTACGTTTGGTCTCTCTGACTTACGGCCTGCATCCCTGCGTCCCCCCAGGGGTGCGGCCGGTTTGGGGAAGGCGGAGCTGGGAGAGCCGAGGCCTCAGGAGCAGGCTTCTCTCTCTCTCTCCCGGCTTGCCCTCCCCTTCTTCTCAGTGTGAAATGCAAATTCAGCAACTCCTGTTCCTCTTCCCACGTTTTACATCTTCCATTTTTATCAATTGTTTTTTAAATTAAAAGGAAACCCTTTTTTTTAAAAAAAGATCACTTGGGCTCTTTGGGGGCCAATTTGCTTAGGGGATGGGGGGAATCTTTTAAATATTCATGGTGAAATACTGTTCGATGACTTCAGTTGCCGGGGTTTCTTTTGAAGATGGTTTCAGATTTATGAAATGCTTAGAATGGCCGTGCTTCTGCACGGTGGCTGATAGCTGCAGGTGGCAGAGAGACCGACTTGACTGACCTTGTCTTTCACATCTGGTTTTGAGGAGTCCGGATGCCCCTTGGATGGCGGCAGAGGAACAGGGTGACGGACATCCCGTTGCCCCACGGCCCCTTCCTCCCTGCGCTGTGGTGCCGAGGAGGGGCTTCCTCGTGGCCTGGCCCGTTGGTCGTTGCTGGGTGGGTGGAGTGTTGTGCTCCCTCTCTGTAGACAAGAACACTGGATGATGATGATGAGATGAATGTAGATAGACGTGGAAACACGTTCACAGTGTCCTTTGAGCTGTGTCCTTTCACTGCCCCCTTCCCTCTCCATCTGAGGAGGCTGGTGGGAGGGGCAGACACGTGTCCTTGGAGAACAGTGTGTGTGAGTAATCAGCTTCTTGTTTGCTGTAAGGACGGGTCCCTTTGGACCCACCTAGAACTGTTTACTTTCTGTGTGTGTGTGTGTGTGTGTGTGTGTGTGCGAAACCTGGGTTCTGGGGGCTGTGTGGCGACTTCACCACAGCTCTGTGTTAGCTCCTCCAATCAGTATGCATCCTGTTCCTCAGGGCAGGCCCAGTCCTGAGGGATACCCGGTATTGGAAGGACACAGGTCATCTCAAATGGGGCTCCGTGTCCCTTCCCAGGGTCCACTCAGAGCTCTCCCCTCAGACCCCCAGAAGGCCCTGCTGCCCGACATCTTGGTCCCTTGCCTTGGATTGAGACGTTTCTTCTCTTCCCACCGGTTGGGAAGGTCACAGTATTCCAGGCCAGTGGCATGTTCTCCAGGAGTCCCAGCCAGGAAATCCCCCAGGAGTTAAAGTTCTTGAAAACAATACTTTTATGTACCTGACTTTGGGGCCCAAATGCCCAAGAGGAAAAGGAAACAGACTAGAACTCAAACTGAATGAATGCATCGTACCAGGAACCTGGGGGAATGAGTGAGTCACACAGGGCAGTCATAAAGCCCTGTGGCTTACACATGGGCTACCTTAGAATGCAGAAGCAATAGAAGCAGTCTGTGAATTGTCTTTATTCAGCTGACAAGGACTTTGGTTCCAACCAAGCAGGCTGGTTGGCTGGTTTGTTTTAATAGATATGACAGGATTTTGAACAATGTTTACGTGCCGACCTAGCTTTATTAAAATTGCTTTTAAATGCCATTTACAGCTTATTTCTGTTGGAACTGCAGTCCTACATTATTGAAATTTAGAAATGCACAGGGATTTAATGGCTCTCTCACCCACCCACATGTGCACGCACACATTTCTTTTTAAAAAAACAAGTGAGATGATGGGGACCCACGTAAACAACTTCCGCTTCTTTGTGCCTGGAAAGAAGAGGGGACTGGAGCAGCCAGGAGGGTCACCCCACGCCCCCTCACCTGCGCCTTTCTCTATGCCTTAGTCTCCCAAACACACAAATGCACGCAAGCCAATGCACATGTGCACACATACATGCATGTACACACATGGCCTACCCCCAACCCAAAGACGGCAGTGGCCGTCGCCTGCCAGCCCTGCTGGTCGGGGAGTGCCGTGGGATTCGTTCTGGTCTCCAGGATGCATCCGAGAGGATTCCAAGCCATGTGAACGTTGTCCTGCTTTCTAGAGGGTGGAATGTGACCCTGCAACTTCAGAAGCACAATCATTTCTTTTAAGGCCTATGTACCCACGTTAAAGAAATCAACAGGTTCTAGGTTCTAAGGAGGAACTCTGTCTCCGTAACCTAGATCATGTTTTCTGGAAACTCTATTTGGGTGGTTTCCTTTTATACCTTTCCTGCGTAGGGCTTCTCCCCCTGCCCTCCCCAAATCTTAGTGTCCCTTTCCGTGAAGAGAGGTGACCACACTCTGGGAGCTGTGTGCTGTCCCTCTGGACGGTCTTGGCAGGAAGCGAATGCAGGCCCTGTGGCCTGTGTGGTGCCCTCCGTTCCCCAGCCATACAGGTGGGCTCAGGGGCAGTTTTTACATGAAGCAATAGAAGTACAAACTACTTACAAACTACTTGTTTTTTGTTTGTTTTTGAAATGTATTATTTTCCATAAGATCTGTTGGCAAATCCCTTCCCCCTTTCTATCTAAATTTTTGGTTTTCACTTGTTTTTCGGGGTGTTTTTCTGCCTTGTACCCGGAGAAATAAAGAATTAGCACAGACACATTCTGACGATAAGTAAAGTAGCAAGTCACGTTAGGTGGTAGTGCCCCTCCTGTTCTGTGTTAAGGAGCTTTTAAAAGAATGTATGAAGGTAGTCATGGTCGTCCTAAGTGTTCTAACCCCGCTTCAGTTCCCTCCGGTTGTGTCTGCCCGACCACAGCCCTGTGACAGGGAGTGAAGTCGTGTCTTGTGTCGAGGGTGTTCGTGTGCCCCTCCCCATCCCATGTCGGCCCTGAACCTTCCTTTCTGTAAGTTGGGGGAGGAGGGGAGGGTGTCATGTCAGCTGCAATCATCAACCCACCAATGGGATCTACTGAGTGATGAATGGATTAGCTGTTTAAATGGTAAGAGTCACTGGCCTGACCAGACCCTAGCATGGCACCGGGTTCCTGTAGAAATGGCCTCGGTTTCCCCCTTTCCCCAAAACGTTTTGCCTCTTGCCTGAATGGAGAGGGGCTTTCTCAAGACCCCTGACTGGAGCCCGCTGAGCTCTCTCCCTGCCTGTGTAGCTAGGTGATATGAAGTGGGGCTGGGGGCCCAGGGCTGTCACTGCCATTTGGGAATACTTGCCTCGCGTAGATCCAGCCTTAATGTTTTTCTGACATCCTAGTGGTAGCAGACCCTGCACAAAGCGGATATCAGAGTTAATACTGTGAGGAGACAAAATAACGAGAATAGTTTTACCAAAGAGAATGAACTATCACATAATGTCTGCATTTTACCGTGGATTTGAATGCATCATTAGAAAACTGAATGTAACAACAACCCAGGACATTTTTTGGAAATTGTATGCTCTCTAGCAACTTTGTGTGAATTTTTATACAAGCACTGTTTTATGAGTTATATAAAATGTTTAAAAATAGAAAAAAAAAAATATGGTCTCGTAACATCTTATTTCCTCAGGGAAGAGGTTTCTTGGTCTATTTGTCTTTCTCTGCGGCCTCCTCACTGCTCCCTTGGGGTGGGGGGTGGGACATGAATGCTTGGGGCACCCCAGCCTCTGGGGCTTCCCCACGGGGGTGTTGGAGCTGTCACAGCTGAGTGAAAAGCCTCCAAATAAATCCTAGCCCCTTTCTGCACAGCCCGCTTCCTGGCCACATGGTGTGTGTGTGGGACACACACACACACACACACACACACACACACATTCACTTTATCTTTCCCAGCGCTCCCAGCCTGAGGCCCGGCCGGCAGAGCTGCTTTTCCCTTTGGATTAAATGGGATTTGCTTCCTCAAAGCTAACATGTTATTAACTGATAACAAAAGGATGTGTGTTTCTTCTCAGTCTCCAGCTAATTACAAATCGTCAACTTTAATATTTCATAGTAGTGGTAATGTCTCAAGCTGTCAGAGGGACTTTTTTTTGGCACAAGGGCCGCAATATTGAAGTAAGCTGTGGCTTGTGTTTGGGACACTCCCCCCCCCCCCTCCCCCGGGAGTGAGGGCGGCCGTGAGCCTGACACCTGTCCCCAAGCCACGCGCAGGTTGGGATTGGTCAAGGGCTGGAGCCCCAGAGGCGAAATACACGATCGAATTTAAGCAGGACTCGACGGAAAGCTAAATTCTTAAGCCCCTTCCAGCTGTAAGTATCTTTGTTTTCTACCAAAAAGAAAATTCAGCCAGGACCGGTTTGGCTCAGTGGATAGAGCGTCGGCCTGCGGACTGAAAGGTCCCGGGTTCGATTCCGGTCGGGGGCATGTACTGTGGTTGTGGGCACATCCTCAGTAGGGGGTGTGCAGGAGGCGGCTGATCGATGATTCTCTCTCATCGATGTTTCTAACTCTCTATCCCTCTCCCTCTCTGTGAAAAACCAATAAAATATATTAAAAGAAAATAAAATTCGGAGGATTTCCATCTGTGTGAGCTGCCGTAGGAAATCCCGGAAAAGAGTGCCACCCCGGATTGATTTCCACGGTCACTGGGAGGGAGATGCAGTGGGCTCTAAGGAAGCTTCCAGGTCCGTCTGGAACCGCCTGGTCCGTGGTGGGAAGGGAACAAGCATGTCCTGAGCCTGCTCCTTGTACTGGCACCTGACGTTTGTGTAGCATATACCATGTGCGAGCTCTACCTGGATCCTCTCAAGAGCCCCGGAAAGTAAATCCCATAATTATGCCTGTTAAGACAAGAAAGCTAAGCCCCTGAGGGGTGTTTATGCCATCGCACTTAATTCTCATAAAAACTCAGTGTTTTGGACACTCTGCTCTGTGGTAAGGAAGAAGAGAGAAGTAGCTTCATTGTCCAAGTTGACACAATTTGCAAATTGGGGTGCGAGGATTTGAATCCAGGTTTGTCTCACTATCGCATACTGTCTCAGGAGCTAAAACACTACATTCCGCAGAAACTGGTTTGGCGCAGTGGATAAAGCATCGGCCTGCGGACTGAAAGGTCCCAGGTTCGATTCTGGTCGAGGGCATGTACCTTGGTTGCGGGCACATCCCCAGTAGGGGATGTGGGGGAGGCGGCTGAGTGATGTTTCTAACTCTCTGTCCCTCTCTCTTCCTCTCTGTAAAAAAATCAATAGACATATATTTAAAAAAATAAAACACTACATTCCCAAGTCACAATACACGAATGTTCAGGTCCAAAAACAATTGCAAGCCCATGTCCTGTCACCCACAGCTGCTGAACCTCTGGTGGGCCTGGGTATGGGTGCGCTGGTTTTAGAATTACCTTGAGTGAAATAACTGGGAATTGTGGACAGACATGTTCTGGTAGTGGTACATTTCTTGAGATTGTGAAGTTGACTGCTGTGGATTGCATTCCCCAAGAGCAGAATCTGAGACGGGGGTTCTTGTGCAAGTGGTCGAGGGTGTGCCGTCAGGAGGAGCATGGGAAAAGCAGATGAAAAGCCACGAGCAAGAGTGTGGTTTCCACTGTCGTCTAGCTTCATCCCATCCACTGGGAAACCCCGGGGTATGGATTCATAGGGCAGAATTAGTCCCCGTTGAAGCCTTGGGGCTGGTTAAGGATGCGTCTGAGGTCTTGCCCATGGGAAGGGGGTATCTCACCTGGCGGGGTGGCTCCAGAAGGGTCGCTGGCCCTTGCAGCTACAGGATAGAGGCAGTGGCAAAGGGGGGGCCGGGTGGAACTCCATCAGCACTCACAAAGGGCAGAACCGCCAGAGGACATGTTAGACCAGATTGCTGGGCCCCGCCCGCCAGAGGCTCTGATTCAGTAGGTTTGGGAAATGCTGGTGCAGACACTGGCACTCTGAGACCTCCTGCACTACAGTAACTTCACAAAATTCGCCGCGATTATCTGTGTATACCGAAACTGAAGGCTTAGCACTTTCCTGACCATTAGAAATAGATCTGAGCTGAAATAAGTGGTTTCCTGTTGTGTTCACATAAAACTGACTGCTCCTTCACGAGCGCTGAACTCAATTTTAGCTTCTAGGTCAGTAGGAAGAGGCGGTTTGCCTCAGGGCTTAGGGGCGCTGCCCAACGGGATGCCTTCTGCCAGAACATTTCTGCGTGGTGGAGCATGTCCGTTGATTTTATTTGAAGAAGTAAGAATTTATTTGTTCTATATAAAGTTTACAGTCCTACATTCATTTGTTCTCAATAGAGTTTATAGTCCTGATGGTCCAGATGGTGAGCTGTGCCCCTCACAGGGGTGGAGAGCACGTAATGCCACCGCCCCTCCTTCCAAAGGCTCCCCATGTGACAGCTGTGTGTTCAGAAGGGCTGGCCGGTCCTGAAGTTACAGGGAGCTCTGTTTTTCGTAAGCACTCCCATGTTGTGAGCTCCTGTAAGGGGTCGAGAATGTGCTAGGGACC